AGAGTCCTCTCCTGCTGATGTTCAGGTGTATATCAGTATGTAGTGTCTCTACTTTAAAGAGTCCTCTCCTGCTGATGTTCAGGTGTATATCAGTATGTAGTGTCTCTACTTTAAAGAGTCCTCTCCTGCTGATGTTCAGGTGTATATCAGTATGTAGTGTCTCTACTTTAAAGAGTCCTCTCCTGCTGATGTTCAGGTGTATATCAGTATGTAGTGTCTCTACTTTAAAGAGTCCTCTCCTGCTGATGTTCAGGTGTATATCAGTATGTAGTGTCTCTACTTTAAAGAGTCCTCTCCTGCTGATCTTCAGGTGTATATCAGTATGTAGTGTCTCTACTTTAAAGAGTCCTCTCCTGAAAAAAATGAAAAAAGTCTTTGCCTTGGGCCATAGCTACCATCGAGGACACTAAGTTCATGTCCTCTCTTTTTATGGGTACTATAAGGGGTTGATTTTGGTTTATATATTGGAGGACACCTACTCATGACTTCTGTATATCTAAAACACGGACATACTGTATAAGTAATCCTTTCTTTAGGATGGAGACTTCCCCATTTATTTCCAAACAGATACAATTTTTTTTTTGATCTAATATGTATGACAACATTTTCTGTGTTGGAAAAAATTCAGAAAACACACAAAGTGTAGCTTCGAGCTTTAATTATGAAAGAGTCTATCCCAATGTAGACATCTCAGGCAATTGTTTGTTTGATCCATGCAGCGTATTCTGGGTCGCAGAGGTCCATGAATGCTGCAGCTCTTCTACATACATAGTAAGGATCACCCAGAAAAGAAATGACGCCATAAATCATGTCTTTGTACACAGCTACTCCACCAGAATCTCCCTGTGAGAGAAACATGTATTCAGTTGACCTGATCAAAAACGCTTAAATGACATATATGAGTACACATTGGAGGTATGCCAACCTACGTAACATATATCCTTGCCACGTGCTTGACCGCAGAACCAGTGTTGATACGCTTTAACCGGGTAGGCCTCTGGGAAATCTTTCTGCAGAGTATTAACGAGGTCTTTACAATCAACAACGTTAATGTCTGCACAGTGGAGGGCAGGCGATGCACCGGGTTCTGGAGAAGAGAAGGAAAGAACAACGGCAGAAATTACAAACAGAAAATAAATTAAACAAAGCAAGATCATGTTAAGTTAAAAATGTATACTTTTATAGTACATAATAGCAATTGTTCTGCTGTCATAAAGGACGATCACAGATAACAAAAAAAACATTTGAAATTGGAAAAGTTTTTTTTTTTTTTAGGGCAGCTAAAGAGCAATAGAGTTCCTGGTCCCAGATACAAAGAATACATTTTGAAAAATATCATGATCTTTATTGAATCTCACTCCTTTTATCCCCAGGGCCCCCTGTAGTGGCAGCATGACCTGCGATCTCAACCCTAGCACAAATAGAAACAAGAAAAAACAAGCGCTTAGTTTACAACATTATTAGGATTTGATGAAAGCATTGAACAAATTCAAGGATATACTGTACCACATGGAATCGCTAGCTTTAAAAAAAAAAAAATACCACCACTTATTGACTGTATTTCCACAACTGACTTATAGTTGCACTTATTAATAATTACTTAAACACATGCAGCTCTATGAAATCCTTTAGTGAAAAAGATCCAGTTGACAAATGAAGGTCTATAAGTGATTTTGACAGATTAACAATAAGGTACTCTAAATGACCAAGTTGCTTTGACATCAGATGCCTCACAGAGACGGTAGGGGAAGTCTCTTGACTAGTTTCTTGAACTGTATCTAAATCATATCTGTAATGATATGCTGCAGAAAACAAACTTTCAGGGTTTCCCTTCTGTGGATTGACTGGTTGATATCAATCAGACCTTAGCATAACGGCTTTGAGCTGATATGTTGGACAAATCTAAGCCCAACCTAAACATTGTGAGACTCTCCAAACCAACATCTAGGTGGGAAAAGGCACGACTCACATTTCAGGGCGATGTTCACAGTCAGGGAGAGCAACAGGTGGAACACCAGAGGGTTTTGGCAGCTGCAGCAGCATGATATCATGGGACCTGTCCTCGTTGTCTGTGTAGATGACAGGTTCTGCTGTGATTTGTAACTCTTCTGCTGGATCCCCTGCATTCAAAACCAACTCTGCAAACAAACTCCTGCACAGAGGAAGAGGTCAATGTGTTTATTATCTATTCATCAATTTGTCTTACCAAACACATTTTTAAATTGGCCTCCGTAAACCCTACATTTGTCTGTAAAATTCAGAGTAAATAGTATTTTAAAGGTCTCCTATTATGCTATTTTATGGGTCTCAGATATATTGTGGCCCCACGCAAAGCTATGTGATGAGGCCCTCTGTGTCGCAATCGGGGGGGAGGAGGGGTTGGTGGGGGGTACCAACCAGATCATGCATTTTGGAGATCCCTCATATCTCTCTATTTCAGGCCTGTTAGAGAACTGCAGGTTCTCAGTCAGTAACTGCTGGCCCCGCCCCATGTTCAGGTGTATANAGTAGAGACACTACATACTGATATACACCTGAACATCAGCAGGAGAGGACTCTTTAAAGTAGAGACACTACATACTGATATACACCTGAACATCAGCAGGAGAGGACTCTTTAAAGCAAAGACACTACATACTGCTATACACCTGAACATCAGCAGGAGAGGACTCTTTAAAGTAGAGACACTACATACTGATATACACCTGAACATCAGCAGGAGAGGACTCTTTAAAGTAGAGACACTACATACTGATATACACATGAACATCAGCAGGAGAGGACTCTTTAAAGTAGAGACACTACATACTGATATACACCTGAACATCAGCAGGAGAGGACTCTTAAAGTAGAGACACTGCATACTGATATACACCTGAACATCACCAGGAGAGGACTCTCATGCGCAGAATACCTAGTCAAATTTGAGGTATAGCCGGTTGTGTCAAGACGGTCGAATATTATTTGTAAGCATTGATGTTTAGAATAGTCATGAGGTGAAAAAATAAATATCGACTAATATAGTAGAAGCGGTTAAATTGTTACAACGTACTAGGAGCAATGGGGCGATTGTACGGATTGTGGGCCAGGAGTGTTTCTTGTCGAAACGAGCCAAGAGGTGACAAAGAAAGGTGTGTGGTTTCGAGGTAAAGAGAGGCTACGGGAATAGAAAAAGATAGGAAACGACGGAGGGGACCAGAGGAACTGGCGGATCGTCACGAGTATTATATCTAGTAAGTAGCTATATATTATATCTAAAAAGTGGAACAAGACACCAGGTTTTGATCGTACACACTTAGGTAGCAATAGTAGTGCAATTCTGGCCGCGAAGAGGAAGCAAAAAGGGGTCAAATATCGCAGTGTTGCTGCGCGCGCCCCATTGGCACGCCATGTAAAGGATAAAATACCGCCGTTCGCGCGCAAGTGTGTTGCTCCGCGGTCTGACCCAGGTGACATCAATAGTAAAAAGAAGATATTAAGCAAAAAAAACCTTTTAGATACATTAGTAGTAAAAAAAGGATGTGTAAATAAGTGCCACAGAGAAATTGGAGTTCAACGAGAAATTAACTTGCGCCAGGTAGAGCAAGTAGCTAATATCTAGTGTAGGAATATACAATAAGGCTCTAAATAGCAGTGAAGGAATCGATTTTTTACAAAACACTCTCATCGCCAGAACAAGGTTCTCTTTCTGAACGTCGGCTGCATATACTCGCGCTCATACCATCCTTAGTTATTTGTCACGTTAGTCATATCTTTTTGACCAATTTTTGCAGAACGTTGGAGTTGTGCTCAATTGTGTTATTTACGATAGGAAAATTTCGGATGGTAAGGTGCGGACTAACTTAGGACGTAAGATACATTCTCGTTACTCCTGCTCTAGACATGGGGTGTGTGTGGATCTTGTTCCACGCTGTAAATTCTTACATAATATACTCCCTCGACTTACAACTCTTAATTTTGATCGGAGGTACACACATATGAGTAAACAGCGTGATAGACATTAACAGAGATTGACCAGAGCGGGATGAGCAGCTGTGTTAATATTTCTCTCGAAGTGGTCACCGCTTGCCAGTTAATCCGCCGGTGTCGGGGTGGATCAAGTCGTTCTTTCATTATTTTTTTTATTGTACTAAAAATGTTTTCATGCTTTTTTATAATTATATTAAGAGGATCTGACTACAATAGTCCACTATGGTATTAAGTTATACATCGACAGAGATTGAACATTTCTCATGTGGAGTATAGTATGTGACGAACTAAAACTTAAGTAGCTACAAAAGTTCACGAAGCACTGATAAAAGCAAAGTCGATACGGACATTAGTCACCAGAGATTACGACAAAGAATCAGACACAAAAGAAAGATAGATTAAGGATACAGGATTGTTCACGGCAAAAAACTCGGTACACCCTTTGTTTTGGGCTGTTACGGGGAAAGGAGAAGTGACAGAGTTCAGGTTTACCCACACGCGTACGAAGTCTCATGAAAAGGATAAATTACGCACAACCGGTTTTTGGTATTACCTTGGTTCTTCCCGGTAACTCGGACGGTAGGGCTGGATGCAGAGAAGTTGTTAGTTAAAGTCTTAACTAACCCGGAACATTCATTTGCCAGTGCACAAGACGTCACGGACCGCTTTGAAGGTGCACATTCAGAACTTCTCCTTTCTGCTCTCTCGCGTATATGGAATTTGTGTTGCAATTTTCTTCATTTTTTTGAGCTTTCTTGTGTACTTAAATTCTACTGGTAAGAATTGAGCTTTCCGGTCGTGTAAACTCTTTGGACTCATTCCGGCGGCGCACGGGTGGTAGGTTGGCCTAAAAAGTTTCCAGGTCTGGACGCCGTTTCAATTTGCCGCCCAAATTGCGAGCTTCACCAAAAAAACTTTATTTCGCGTGACGAAATTGCCGGCCGTACTGGTCTTTTAGGGAGAAATTGTCGAAGGGAACGGACGAACAAAACCACTTCTATTCCATGAACCAAGCGAGAGTCCGCTTTGCATGGAGGAGACGACTACAAGTCACATATAGTCATGCCATACCAGAGATTAGTAAATTTTCTCGAGAGAAATACCGACTACAAGCTTCCACATATGGACGGCGATACATCACGAGATGAAAGTTTCTCAGGAGAGGGAGGCGAGCTCACAAGGTCCCACACATCAGTCATTACATCCACCAGGATGAAATTTCTTTCAGTGAGAGGGACGACTAGCAAGTGCCACACTTATAGTCATACGATCGACAGAGATGAGAATTGTGTCGCTCAGGAGAGACGACTACAACGTCCCACATATAGTCCATACATCATCAGAGATGACAATTTTTCTCGAGCGAGAGGAGCGACTGCATAGACGGGCTTCCCGCGTGCCCGTGTTTTGTTGTTTTTTTTTTTTTTTTGCCAAGTGCCCACACTATAGTCATACATCTACATATAGTCATACATCACAG